CCCCTGCCCCCCTCTTCCCTCCCGGGCCTGAATGGCGTCAGTCCCCCCCCCGACAGAGCGAAGCTTGAGCGAGGTCGAGCCCACGCTCTCAGAAACTTATTCATACGCCAGATCGGCGGATTTGCAATTTCTCGAGGAATTCCGAGGAACCCTTAGCAACCCAAGCAAGGCAAGCAAGAAACCCCGAGGAACCCAAGCAAGGAACCCCGAGGAGCCCAAGCAAGGAACCCTGGCGAGGAGCCCGAGCAATCCCAGGGAACCTCGGGAAACCCAATCAAATAACCCAAACCGAAGAAACCCGTGCCCTCCCGGGAACTTCTTGGGACCCTCTTTGGGCCTCTGGGGCCTCCCGGGGCCTTCCTGCACCCCCAAAGCCCCGATATACCAGAGACTCCCATGTGCCCCTCGGATCGCCCAAGAAGGCCCAAGGAGGCTGTACAATGGCTCCCCGATGTTGTGATCTGTTAGCAGCGTGGACACCTGGAGGTCTCCACCCCGTCCCGAGGGCGTTTCTTTTTCATGCCGCACAGTGTATTGATTGTCCCGAGGCCCGGAACAGATGCCGACATTGGAAACGAACTGGCCACAATTGTCCCGATACGGCAGATGTTTGGCAGAGCGCCCCACGAGGGCCCATGGTCGGGCGGGGCGAGAGGGGGTCATCGAGAAAGGGCGTGCTCGAAATCTGCTGTAGGAAGTTGGTTTTCGCCCAAGCCGCCGGGCGTTTTCCTCGATACACGGCCGCCTCCGGCGCCAAGGGGTGCTGGGATAATCAGCAGCATGCGTCATTGGTCCGAAAGATACCCGTACCCGGGGCCAGCCAAGGTGAGATGGGCCGTCCGGGGGATTGGGCGCTTGCCATTGTGCCCGGTCAGCTGGCCCCGCGCGCGCCAGTGCAGCATCCGCGCGTCAAGACGCAACGGCGCGCTCGATGGTTGGGTGTCTGATTGCAGCGACAAGTGCTGGTTTTTGTTAGGGACGTCTCGGGGCATCGTGGTGCGTGCGCGGTTCAAAGCCGCCCATATGTGGCGGCGCCTGTCGCAATCGATAAAGAGTTACATGTCTTTGCTATCCTGGCAACCAATGCGTCTGGGCCTGCCCTGAGGAACGACGTTGCAATGTCGCGCCCCCCGGGGCCGCAGCGGCCACGTCGGGGACGGCTCTGGAGGGCATGATATGTGCTCGAGAGCGTTTTGGGCTTGCCGCCACCTCGGCTAGGTACGGGGACCTGCTTGAAACCACCGAAACATACCCGGACCTAGCTGGGGTGAGCTGCGGCACCCCGGCTAGGTACGGGTGTGTTTTTGGGTTTTCATGGGGCAACCGTACCTAGCTGGGGTGATCCGCAGACGGCCGGCCAAGGGGGGCGGCTTCTGGCGACCTCGCCCAGGGCACAGATTCGCGATGTCTCTGCATCGAGCAATTCGCGATAGGGCGGTTGTCGTGCAATGACGTTCGCGCCAGAGTTGTTCGCATGCGCCCCCGAGTGCGCGTTGACTCCTCAACGCCCGGATGTGTGTCTGGGGGCGCGCCTCCGCAGTAGCTGGTCTACATCGACAACAACCAACGCAGGGTCGGGCACTCCGCCGATTCGAACGCACGTGCGATCGGTGCTAACGTGCGCCCCGAGAAGACAGCGGTCTGTAATGCTCGATCGGCTGTCGTTTCTACACTTGTGCAGCCGCCGTCAGCTGCGACGAACCGCCCCCCGGGCCCCTTGCCACCCTGTCTAGGTAAGGGTACGGGTATTTTTCGCGCTCGAGAATGCGGCTGATTCGCTGAACCCCCTTCGTGCCACTCGTCCGCCCTGACAGGGTGGTTCATACCCCAATCCCCGAGCTCCGCCCCAAAAGTAAGCCTCTGAGAACAGGGGGGGAACTTCGGGATACACCCCGAGAGGGGGTATTCGGTTGCACCCCTATCGAGGACGCAAGTCTCCCCATCGCTTATCCATGAGTTGGGCCCCAGACTGTTGGTCCACTCGAAGATCACGAAGTCCCCAGACTCCCAACGTCATGTTTTTCCATGCCGTCGAATGCCACAGGTCTCGAATCACTCCCCGGGACCAGCTTTTCGCCCGGAGACGCTTTTTGACGGTCCCGAGGCTTGGTGTGGGCCCTGCAGGGCCGAAAACGGCCCAAAAACCGTGCGTCGTGATCTCCTCACGACTCGAGCGACGGGTCCTGGGTCTGGGACAGGGGTCGGCATCCTCGCTGCGGTGGCCGGCTGGCCCAGACGTCGCGGGGCGCGGGGAGGCCAGCAGGGCTGGACCTAAACGCTGTTTTGCTGGACTTCCGCTGTGTGCCATGTTTCGTGTTGGCCAGGAGGTGCCGGAAAGCGGGTGGAGCAGAACGGAAAACACAACGAAACCCAAACGAGAACGAGCGTTTCGATCCAGCCCTGAGGGCCAGCGGGCGCTCAGGGGCCCGCCGCCGGCGGCCGCCGAGGCTGCGACGCCCGCGGCGCCGCCGCCGCCGCCCGCCTGGCAGGCGGCGGGGGGGGGGGGGCCCAGGGACGGCAGAGGCGGCGAGGACGGCGAGGAGGTCCTGGCCACGTGGGCATGCCCGCGTCGCGAAAAGCTCAGGACGGCGGTCGTTCTGAATGTTCGGCCTGTGGGTCAAGCGGTGGCGAAGCGTCCTGGCTCGCCTAAAGCCCTGTCGAACAATGTTTTAAGAACCTCTTGTGGCTTCCACGAAATGTTCTCAGAACATGTCTGGCGGATGTCGTCGTGTTTTAGCACATCGGGTTAATGTTCTTGTTCCAAGAACAGTTTTGGGTTCTACGAACATTTCCCTATAGGACTATAGGACTGCCGGGACGGTCGGTCCCTGCTCAACAGAGGGCCCCCCCGGACCATCCACAGTCAAACACCCCGGGTGAAAGAGACCAATCCCAGGGAATGAACGGGTCGGGCTTTCCGGGGGCCCGTACTGACGAATCAGATATCGCATGTCTGGCCACGGAGACCTCGGGGCCAGGAACAGATTCACTGTACCATGTTATGCCTGTGCACCGCTTAGAGGCAGCTGGCGGCCCAAGCACAATGCATCGTATAGTTGTTCAACGCCTGCCGCCAACCGAAGCGGCTGGAACATTCTACATTATACTGGTTTCGTAGCGTTTCTGCTAAGCCTCATGGGGCAGAGCCCAGATACCTTAGTGTATATTCACGTGGTCCCCAAGACAGTTTGCACCCCCCGGCGATAGCGGGCGTGACCAGGATTGGGCAGAGGGGGGAGGGGGCCAGTCACATCACGATTCGCGCCGGCGCCGTGGGGGGTGCACGGGAGGGGGAGTGGCGGGGCCGGTCACGGGGGTTATCATGAGAAAGAAACAGCGGTTTCATGCTGCCGATGTCAGTCCAATGCAGAAAACATAATGCGGTGCTCCGCGCGGCTTCCTTGAATTTGTGGAGGACCCTCCCTGGCGGCGCCGCCCCTGGCGCGCTCCGTGCACGAAGGAGGAGGGCCCAGCGCCGATCCAACAAATCCGCCCAGTCCTCCGACAGTTTTTTTATGTTTATACAGTTTTGTGCTCCTCCCGCCATTTTTTTCGGCCCGGCAGCCACAGTGATGACCTTGTCACCGAAAAATGCTCACCTCCTCAGGAAATCTTGGCTGCAGCGCCGCAGCGTCACAGTATGGAAGCCATCGAGACACCGAAAAGTAAACATCCCGCCGTCGCCAGTTGTCCTCTTCCTTGTGGAGCCATCCCGCAATTGCAGGCGTCAGCCCTAAGGGGTCGGCAGAGGAACGAGGACTTGCTTCATTAGCGCTGTTCGAACTCTCCCTCAGGCGTAGTCTCGCTTTCGGAGCAGCAGTGTTGACTGTCGGATCCATACCACCAGCCTGATACATATCCATACCCGTATGATTCGCATAACCTTATCCCTATGCCGATCTCAATACTTCACTGAGTTTATGGGTGTTCACCCCCAAGATTGTCACCGCCTTTGGGCTGATACATTTTAGGGGTAGGGATGAGCTCGAGGCTTGTTGCAGTAGTTCACTTCCTCGGCTCTGCGGTGCCTGGGAGTAGTTAATTCTCGTATCTGGCACCGATGCTTCATTCGCAAGAAAGCTAATGAGTTCCTCCTATTTAGTGCAACCCTCGTCATCTTCACGATCCTGCTGCTCTTCTCCTGCTCATCTTGCTCCTGCTCCCGGTCCTGCTGACCCCTTGCTCCTCCCCGAGCTCGGGCTCTTGCTGCCCTTCCTCCCCCTTCGCAAATTTAACCCTTTTCCCTCTTCGTCCCAGTGATGTGCTTCATGGCGTACCCGATGGCTTGTTGATGGTTGCCCGATGGCTTGTTGAATGGTTGCGTTCCGCAGTCCCCAGCCGTTTTTCCTCTCGCCGTTCACAGCGCCGAGCTCGCCTCGCGGCACCGTCCTCACGAGCTCGCCCGACCCTCGGCCGCTCCCAGCAGATCCCGCCATGGCCCGCTCCGCGTCCCTGCTGCTCGCCTGCGCCGTCGCGGCCGCTGCCGCCCTGTTCGTGGGCGCTCTCGCGCTGTCCTTCGTCGGCGCCTCCCCGGCGGGCCTCCGCGCGGGCCGGCGCGCCCCCTCTAGGGGAACAAAAAGTGACAGAACCAAAATTTCTCAGGTCCGCGCGGATTCCTCGGGTCCGCGCTGGGGCCCCCTGGCGACGCCTCCGGCGCCGCCCCTGGCGCGCTCCGCGCGCCAGGGGCGGGGGGTCCAGCGCGGATCCAAGAAGTCCGCGCGGACCTCCGAATTTTTATGTTCATGCCATTTTTCGTTCCCGTACCCTCTGTGGAGATGCAGTTCTTCGGCGGGCCGCCGGTGACGACCACGCCTCCGCCGCCCGCGGGATTTAGCCTGGGAGACGTGGGCGGGAACAACTACGTGATCTCGATGACCATCCTCTTCTTCGGGTCGGTGCTCGCGAACGCCAACGGGTTTTTCGGGCCCTGGTGAAAATGAGCGGCGGCCCGCCAGCGCCAGCGGACGGTGCACACAGCCTGAGAATAACTTTCGGCGGCGTTCAGATTGGCCGCGGAGATCGTGCCGTTTCGGCGGCATTTGGATTTGCGCGCTGCTCACGCGTCGCGTTGTTTTCTCCAAGGCCGTGCGTTTCTTATGTGCCTCATTTTCAGACGGCACGAGCATTAATCGGCTACTCGGCGCAGTATAGTATGAAAAGAACGGTATCCCGATGATTCGTTGATGGTACCCTGGCGGCAGCCTGCGGTCGACGATGGTCTTCAGATTGTGTCGCCGATGACCTCTTCACGCTGCTGGACGGTGACCGGACGGCTCGATGGCGGTGTCCCGACAACGTCTTGGTTGCGTACCGAGGCCATGGCGATGCCGTCCCGATGGTGCCCCGACGGTTTTTGTTGGTGGTGTCGCACTGGTGTCCCGGTGGTGCCCCTCCTGATGGAGTCCAGGCGGTGTCCAAAATGGTGCTTCGGTGGTCTGTGGACGGTGCCCCGAGAGCGTGTTGATAGTGCCTATGTTGTGTTCGGCTGGAGGTCAGCGCTGCGCCGACGGCTTGCTGATGGTCTTCCCACCGTGTCCCGATGACGAGATGGTTCATGCCATGTGGGTTGCCCGGTAGTCTGATGTGGTTGTCCAGATGAAGGCTTGATGCTTTGATGGCAGCACCCTGACGGTGAATTGTGAGACACGCGTGGGTTGCAAACGGGTTCACACAGGGGCAGGTTACGAAACGAAGCATAGTACTTCGAGTCCATGAGTTGTCGCCCCGTACAGGTATGATCCATAGGCCAAATTCGGCATTGAATGCGTAACTTATGGCGAGTCGTATGCAGCAAAACATGAGCCTCGCGTTGGCCATACGTGAACCACCTGTGAGTGTTACCCTACATCGGAGTTCGTCACATTGAGGACACTTCAGCAATGGATGATGCTAGAATGCAAGCCGTGTTGAACCAACTGATCATCAGACACGCCTCACATCTTATCAACATGTCGATGTCAGATGCGATATTATTTCGATTTCATCGCGAACGTGGCAATCATGACATGCGATGCGACTAAGAACACTATCGGAGCCCAAATAAGGACCGATGTGTATCACACGTGAGGCACACAGCAAGCACATGTGACCCCGATGCGATGCGAAGCAGCATCATGGAGATGGTGTGTACATTGTCGCGTGTGACCCGGCTACGTGTAAGCGTGAGTCAAATGTGGGCATCATTGGCACCGCATGTGAATCAGCACCCCCACTACCTGACCTCCGCCTGCAGGCCGCTCCAAGCATCAGATTGGGTTCACTCGGCAATGTTTGTGGAAGTACTCGGCATATTGTGTTCATTCGTTCCAGGCTAACGAGGAAGAGAAGGGGGGAGGAGAGGATGGGGAATGAGGGGGAGGTGGAGGAGGATCAGGTGGAGGTGGGAGGAGGAAGAGTGCGATCAGGGGAGGGTGGGGGAAGGAGAGAGGGGGGTAGGAGCCTGGGGGGACAGGAGGGGGATAAGAGGATGAGGAGGAGGAGGAGGAGGAGGAGGAGGATGAAACCCTTTTCGAATTCCCGAGGATTTCCGAAACCACTCTTCTATCCAGTTGTCTGCGGCAAGCCCCGCCACCGTGCACCCCAGCGTTCTGGGTGGCGACTTTTCGGACGGGCACGCGTGGCCGTCAGATGTGGCACATCATGCTTCCAGGCAGAGGAGGAGGATGGGACGACGATTATGATGTTGACGAGGAGAAGGTGAAGCAGGACGAGGAGGAGGAGGAGCAGGAGCAGGAGCAGGATGAGGAGGCAGAGGAGGAGGAGAAGGAGAAGAAGAGAAACGCCGTCACCTGTGACACTTTTCGTCTTCATTGGTTGAGGAGCTCTCATGGGGCTTCTTTTGGCCGTCTTGGGGCTGTCTTCGGGCTCCTCTGGGGCATTCTTGGGGGTACATTGGGCCTTCTTCGGGCCCACTTGGACCGTTGTGGGTCCTCTTATGCCATCTTGGGGCTCTTTTTGGCCTTCGTAAGGCCCTCTCTGCCGTATAGATGGTGTACTCATTAGGGCCGTCGTGGGTCCGTCTTGCCGCCGGCTTGGGCTGTCAGAGAGCATTATACAGTCGTGTTGGGTCTTTCCGGAGGGCCTCTTGGGCCGTCTTGGGGCCGTCTTGGAGGCCTCTTGGGCCATCGCGGGATCCACTTGGGCCGTCTTGGGAATTGTTGGGGGCCCTTGGGCCTGTTCTGGGGCATTCTCAGGAGCTTCTTGGGCCATCTTGAGCTGACGGGGGCCCGAAAAGGGGAGACTTCGAACATCTTTCACAAACCTTTCGGGAATTAATGTTTTTCGCTTCTTCGGACCCTGTTGTGGGTCCTCTTGTGGCCCTCTTGGGCGATCTTGGAGCCAGGCATCGTATGCAATCGCGGCGGCTCTTGTTGCAAGCTTAGGCCGTCTTGGAAGCTCGCAAGCGCGGAACCATGGTTTTCTACAAATGATGGTGGCTTCGGGACCGCAGATTCATCGCTTTTGCTAGGGCTCGTGGCCTCGGGAGGGGGGCGGGTGCATGCGGTACTCTGTGAGTAGAGGGGGGTGCCCCTGGAGGAAAGCGGAAACCCTACCAGGCAGCCCGTGGCATTCTACCTCAACGTGCCAGGGGGACGGTGGCGGATTGGGCTGGTAGTCTGGATTTGAGTGGTTGGGGCAGGGGGACTTGGGAGAGAGCGGGGTCTGGAATTTCTTGCCATACGGCCGCGCGTGTGTCTGGCGGCGCTTGTCGAGCCTCCCTCCCGCCAATGGCGGCGGCTCGCAGGCAGCCGCCGACGCCGTGCTGGACTCCGCGAGGAGGGGAGGGACCGCGCTGCGCGCTGAGAAGCACGTCTCTCCGGCCTCATCCTGAGCCTTGCCTTGAGATCCGACGTCGCGACAAAAATTGCAACATCGCAAGAAATCGCGACCAGAGCCCTGGACCAATCGCTCTGCGGCACCGTACGAGCTGGATCGATCTGTGAGGGCCCCGGCGCCCGAAACTCGGCGCGAACGCCCTTTGTGGAGACATGGCAGCGCCAGGATCTCAGGGGGTCGCCTCCGAGGGGCCTTCCCTCGAGGGATCGGAGCTCCCCGTCCTGCGTGCTCATGTCGTCGCAGGGGTTCGGGCTTCCAAGCTGAGGCTGTCGTCCAGGCCGCGCGCCGTTCGTGTTCACTGGGTCTGTCCATGCACGCGCCTGCGCGCCGCGCGCGGTCTTGACGTCGTCCAACTATAGAGCGCCAACGGGCGTACGGGGCAAGCGCTTCGGGCCAGGTGTATTTTCAGACTCCAATGTGCAGCAGAACGCCATGGGTGAGGGGGGGAATTCGGCAAAAGAGAACGTCTTGCCGCATCCCCTTGTCGACGACAGCGCCATCGATGGTAACATGAGCGACCCAAGAAAGAGCTTTGACGGGGATACTCGTATGGGCTGCAAGAGTTTCGACACCCTCCCTCCTCTGTCTTCGATCCATCCTTTCTTCCCTCGCTGTCCTCCATCATCCTCAAACTCCCGCCTTCCTCCTCCCTCAGTTCCTCCTTCCTTCCTCCCCTCCCCTTTTCCCCCCCGTTATCCTTCCTCCAATATTCCTTTTCTCTCCTTACCATCTCTTGCATCATGATGTCCGCTACCGTCTCCTGCGCCGTCTTCGTAGCCGCACTTGTCTCTATGTAGTTCCCTCTTCGCGCCAGTGTTTTTCTACATCTCTCTGTGATCCCCCTCCCCCTAACACCCTCGTCTTTCACCCACCGCCGCTGTGGCCATGCGGGCATTTGCCGTGACTGCGAGAGTCTGGGGCAAACAGGTAGACGACGGATCCTTCTCTTCCTCCTCCTCCTCCTCGTCGTCTTCCTCCTCCTCCTTCTCCTCCTCCTCGGACCTTTCTCATGGTGATAGGGGCTTCGCGAGCGGGGCGAACAGGCCAGGGAGGTTGTCAGGGCTGGTCCGTTGACCTCGAGGGACCTCCCATAAGGGGGTCCTCCTTGGCGCGGCCCGGCAGGGAGCTCGGTGCGGGCGCCCTGCGCGCCGCCCTGCAGATCCTGTACCGGTACGTCGAGGACTACCTGGGCACATCCGCAGGCCGCGCGGGGGAGAGTCGTCGGAGGGGAGGGAGGGAAGGGGGCGGGGGGGGGGGGGGGGGAGGGGCCGTCGGAGGGGGCGGGCGGAGAGGGAGGGGGAGGCGGAGGGGGACGGGGGGCGGAGGCGAAGAAGGAAAGGGGGAGGAAGCGGAGGGGAAGGGGGGTGGCGGAGGAGGGCGGGGGAGGAGGACGAGGACCAGAGTCAGCCCAGCGTGTAGCTGAGGTGCTGCAGCGCAACCTCCCCTCCCGAGTCCTGCGTCGCAGAAGTCCATGCGTGCGTGATGCTTCCCTGCGCGAAGCGCCCCTTTTTTAATCAGAAAACAAGGCAACACAAAAAAAACGAGCACCCGATGGGCCCGCCATTGTGGCGGGAACCCTGAGGGGAGGAGGAGGAGGCGGAGAGGAATGACGAGGTGGAGGAGGAGGGGGGGAGGAGCACCGAGGATCGGCGATCGAGGTCGTTGTGGCAGGTCCTGCTGTGAGTTTTTAGAGGAGGGGTCCCAGGCATCACGGCGCCGTCACGAAAATATCACGACAAGCGATTCTGTTCACGACCTCGGCCTCTGGGGACCTTTCCCAGGCCCTGCGGCAATGGAGCATCTGCATGTAACGGAGGGACGCTACGGTCCAGGGTTGGGGTCAAGATCTCAGGGACTTCGGTTATCGGGGTCCACAATGGGCTTGTCGGACTCAATGTTGGATTCCAGGGCCCTCGCGGATCGTCTGGATCGAACAGATGACTCCTGGAGACGGTGTCGACCAATTTGGGCGTGACATGTTCAAGTGTCCGCAGCTTTCCTACCACTTCTGACGTCGAGGCCCAGGGGGGTCGGACTCGTTGCAGGCTGCAGGCCGTAGGAACTGATTGGTTGTTGACGGACGGCATGCTCTCGTTATCCGACCTTGACAATACGCGAGATGATGCGGTCTGTGGCCAGGGAGGAACAAAGGGTTGAATTAGAGATGTGAAGAATACATGGCTCGAGTGTGTGGGAAGAAGCGTTGCTCCATGTAGCGTAGGAGACGCCTTCCGAATGACGCCCATCTCTTCCCCAACCAAGTGAGATTCATCCTTCAAGCTTCATCCTGGCAACATCCGCGAATTTATAGGACCGTTGCTCATCAAGTGTGCTGGCCACGAAGGCGAAAGACTTTCCGTTCAGAGAACGGTATTTGCAAACAATTTCTTCCGACGGGAGGCCATCGACATTCAATCGTTTGGTAGTCGAACATGGCTGTAGTAATCGCGTGCGCTAGAAGAGTCCGATATCGGCAGCGTCCATTCAGCGGCCTTCGAACGTACTTGAGTCGCACGCTGCGTCGAGGAGTGCTCGAATAGGGTCCCCTGAGCGGGGCAGTACGAGTTCGCACTGTCGCCCGAGAAGCGTCACTGCTTCAATGTTCGTGTGCGTGGCGACAGCCAAGCAACATAGACCTTCTGTACGTGCGCAGTGAGCCGTAGACCCATGCACAATCCGACACGGCCCTGGTCGTTTCGGCCATGGCCCGAGGCCCTCTTGGGCCGTCTCGGGGCGCTCTTGCAGGCCCCCCCCGCCTCCAGAGAGCGAAACCCGGGCACGGGCCCCCCCCCCCCTTCCCAGGTCTCCTTTCGACAACGGGACACGCCCCTCCCCCCCTCCCTCCCTTTCCAGAGCGAAACCAGGGGCCGCCCCCGAAAGCGGGACACGCCTCCCCCTTCCCAGAGCGAGACCAGGGATCACGTTATCGAAAATATGACACACCTCCCCGCCCCCAGAGCCAAGCCAGGACCCCCCCCCCGAAAGTGGGACAGGACCCCCCCCCCGTTCCCCCCTCCAGAGCGAAACGAGCCCCCCACCCCCCCCTTTCGAAAACGAGGCCCCCCCCCTTCCAGAGAGAGACTTGAGCGAGCCCAATCCCACGCTCCTTTAAACTCACAAGCCAGATCGGCGGATATGTTGATATGTTTGTATGCATTTAGAGATTGCGAACAGCGCAGGTCTGCCCACTGAACCGGTCATATCCACCATTTGGTTGTGACTCCCGCGGGCTGTTGGAAAGGTCGTCGGACGAGTGCGCGTCTGAATCCATGAATTCGGCGACGTGGGTCAATCTTGAGTATGTATGTACACACACGTTTTTTCTTTGTATATATATATATATATATATATATATATATCAAACAAATACGTCGGGCCGCCTCCCAGGGCGTCCTCCACCTCGCTCACATCTCGAGTGCGCTCCCAGTACTGCGCTTCCCGGCCTTCCAGGGAGCCCCCACAGCCCAGACGACCCCACGAAGCCCCCAGAACGTAAAATAATTGCCCAAGGCCCAAGATGCTTCCAAGAAGCCCAGGATCGCTTTCGGGCGGCTCTTCAGGCTTCCAGGAGGCCTCCAACAGACTTCAAGAGAGCTCCGAGAGGCCTCCCGAGAGCGCCCCCCGGAGAACCTAAAATTGTTGATTTATATTTTTGTTGTTGCCCCAAAAGTTTGCTTTGGCATTCTCACCATTTCATGCTTCTAACGCTCCAAGACGGCCGAAGAGGCCCCCTAGACGGCCCAAGAGGCCCCCAAGACAGCCCCAAAACGGGCCAAGACGGTCCCAGGATTGCAGAAGAGGCGCCCCGGACAGCTCCCAGACCACCCCAGAACAGGTCCAAGATGAGCCCAAGAGCGGGAGCGGGAGGCCGCCAGAGACCTCCGAGGGGACTCCGGGACCGCCCTCAAGCCTCCAACATACCCTAGACCCCTGAGAGGCCCTCAAGAAAACTCTGACGAGGTCCCCCAAACAGCCCAAGAGAGCTTCGAGAGCCGTCCTGGGAGAGCCTGAAGAGGGTCAAATCATTGATCTCCAGTGGTTTTTGTCGACATGTTTCGCCTTCTCACGTTTTCCCGCGTGCAACGCTCCAAGACCAAGGAATTATTTTAAAAGGGAATTCCAGAGCTTCCTTTCTTTTTCAAGTTGGGACCCCTACTCCCGATCCTCCTCCTCGAGGCCCCATCAAGACTTCGGAGTCACATGTAAAGCTGTTACGGGAATATTGTTGAACTCTCTGACGCTGTCTTGGCACTCTCTTGGGTCGTCTTCGCGTCCTTTTGGCTGCCCCTGAAACCACCGTAGAAATCGAGATCCCATGATCCCACGAGCTGAAAAAAACATTAATTCCTATTATTTAGAACTCACCATCTGCTTATTTTTGCACGAAGATCCGAGAGGCAACCCAACGGACCGTAGTCTGAATCAGAAAACGTCTAACCCACAGCCCAGGCACGGCAACTGGAAACAATGGGAGTGCCACAATTCTTTTTTTTGAAGTTCGTCCCTTGTCTACTCTTGCACAACCGACCACAATGAAGCCCCCCCTCAGCTCCCAGAAAAGAACACGCACGCGATGGTTCTATTCTATATATATACATACATACATACATACATACATACATACATACATACACGCACGTATACGAACACATATGTGTACATACAATCGAATCGAAATCGCTAGATCGATACATCGCAAGTTCGATCCGACGCCCATCGCACGCCGACGGCTGCACCCATCTCCCCCGCATCCTCCTTATCACCCGACTGGTGGTCTTCTCGGCGTGTACCTACGTTTGGCCTCCATCAGCGTTTGTGCTTGCACCGTTTCAGACCACCCGCGGTGTGCTCGGACGCGTGGTCCCTGATGGATGTTTGAACCAGACGTCTCGTCGGCTTGCCACTGCGTCAGGGGGGAATGGGTCAGGCGAGGAGATGGTCGCCGCCATGCGCTCTGCAGCGCAGATTGGAGTTCCAGTGCTTCTCGGGGACTTTGCGTGCTTGGCCGAGAAAGTACATGGGACATGCACGAGAGGGGAGACGACACATATCGTAGCTGGACTACTCTCAAGTTCGGGCGCGATCGCTTCTGATGCTGAGGAGAAAGTGGGAAGTGGAAGAGGCGGCGAAGAAGGAGTTGTGTGATGCGAGGCGTCAGCATGTTTATCTCCACAGTGGTGCTGCAAAACGATTCTAGAAAATTGTACGCCGCCCAGCGGCTGTGACTCTACACTCCCAGGGTGCGTGGGTAGATTTAGGTAATTGTCCGCTTCCCCGGGTCCAGCGAGCAGTGTAAATTGGTGGTGGCACGTACCATCACTAACACCAACACAGGGTGTAGCGTGATTGAGATTCCGTTGCTTCTCCCGTTTTCGCTCGCCGCCACCCTTGCATGCTTCATCGGCCCGTCTGTTTTTGCAGCACATCTGGCGCGAAATTGGTAGATACCTTTCGGGGGAACCAGCGTTCCGTCTGACAAGAAAGAGCGGATGATGCGACGAATATTGCCGTTGTTTTGAGATTGGTGCCGAGGCCCCCCTTTCGGGATTGTGGAGGATGTTTTTGAGGAGCTGCACGGAGAGGAGCACGGGATGATGTTAAGAAGGGTCAGTCAGAACAGGTTGGGGGCGGCAAGCAGTGACAGGCCAACCATTCGCCGCCAAGAGGAAGTAGTGTAACAGTCTCAGAGTTCTCGATCGAATCTTCTTACCGCTCCCTCGTCCGAAGTGCGCTCTGTGCCGAGTCGACCATACAGGTCCGGGGAGCCTCAAGCAAGCCCCAGAGGGCCTGACTCCAGGAGAGCCGCGAGATTCCGTGGGAGTGCGGGTGGCAAGAGAGCCTAGCGGCAGGGACCCCGCAGAGGACCTTCCGTCCAAGGTCACCTTCAAGCGCATATCTCAGGAGGAGGGATTGGGCAGGGCCGAAGTGTTGGAAGAACATGTGTGCGTATGAGGCTGTGCATGAGGATGAGGAAGAGGAGGAGGAGGAGGAGGGGGAGGAGGAGGAGGTGGAGGAGGAGTAGGGAGGAGGAAGATATCTAAGATGATGGCGGTGAGGGGGCGAATCTGAGGAACGGGACTAGGTAAAGTCGGGGAATCAGAGTAAGGATGAGGTTGAGGATGATAGGGAGGATTTGGACCGGCCGAAGAGGATGAGGAGGAGGAGGAGGAGGAGGTGGAGGAGGCGGACATTGAGGATGAAGGATGATCAGTAACATGAGGAGGAGGAGGAGGAGGAGGAGGAGGAGGAGGAGAGGAGGACGAGGATCAGGAGGAGGAGGATGAACATCAGCAGCAGTAGCATGATCAGGCGGAAGAGGAGGAGGAGCAAGAGGAGGAGGAGGAGGAGGAGGAGGAGGAGGAGGAGGATGAGGAGGAGGAGGAGGAGGATGAGAAGGAGAAGGAGGAGGAGGAGGAGGAGGGATGCGTGGCGGCGGCTGTTACGGCAGTGGAGGCGAAGGTGGGAGGCCGAAGGCGTATGTGAATGGTAATGAGGCGGCAGAGTAGGATAAGGAGCAGGAGGAGGAGGAGAGAGGATGGTCATGATCAGATTGAGAAGCTGGGTGGATGTACGGATCGATGCGGATTGTGCCCGAGAAGGGCGAAGGGATTGGGTTTAGGAGGAGTCTTGTCATGGAGGTGTGTGTGTGTGTGTGCGTCCCCGGGTGCCTCACTTAGCAAGGCGTTCGCTAAGACGTGCTTGATCATGTGCGAGTGCTTCTCCGTCCCCCCCCCCCCCGCGTGCGAGGGGAATACTGTGCCAACGTGGACCTCTCCGGCAGACACTCAATGGGGAGGATGCGCGGCCGGCGCCCTGCACCGCTCAAGGCCATTGCCAAGCGGCCACTGGTGCACCCAGCACTTCTTGTAAACCATAAAGTGCGGCAAGTCTTTCTGGGCCCGGTATTTTGCAAGAAGGTTGTCGAGCTTCTCCACCGCAGTGGGGTCATGCTGCAGAGCGACGTCTACGATCCGCTGCTCTCACTCTGCGGCGATCACCCCAGTCGACACTGCAGGCGTGCAGCACGGCATGACGCTGCGAGACTTGAGGGAACACTTGCACTTCCGTTGTAGGGCCGGGAGCTTCAACTCCTGCCTCATATACTGCGGGAATCGAGCACGACACGTCGAAGGGGACGACGCCTTTGGGCACCACCATCTGTAGAATCGGCGGGGCGGACCAGTCCAGGCGAGGCCTGCAGCATCTCGAGCGGAGGGGCCACCACCTGCAAGGGCGCCAGCATCGGCACCAGCGGGCTGCCAGACCGGGTCACCTTCGAAGAACGGGGCAGGCGACGGGAATGTGCCAGCGACGGCAGAGGCGGCTGAACCGCAAGGCCACCATACGGCCTGGCGTGGCGAAGAGTTGTTGCTTGTGCTTCGGCACTGGGGTCACGAGGGCCTCGATGCCGGCAGGGTCTCAAAAAAAATGCCGCAGGCGCCCGCCAGGTTGTGGCCGTCGGCTCTGCGAGGCGGGCGTCCGGGTCGGGCCGTGCAGCCGGAGCCTCCCCGCAGCGACCCTCGGGCCGGACGAAAGGGGGGGATTGGGAAAGGAAGGGTTACGAAATTTGCTGCATGCAGCTGGTTTCGGCCCCACCGAGGGGCCCATTCCTCGATACATAGACGCCTCCGGCGCCGGGGATGGCGCCGGGAAAGTCAGCCACGTGAGCTGATTCTCAAACCCCCCCCTTTGCTATCCCCCCCTTTCGCCCGACCCGAGACTCCGCGGTGGCGACCGGGGGCGCGGCCTCAGGCAGCACCACGCCGAAGGAGCGGGGCTAGCTGCGCGCGGCCGCCCGCGCTGGCAGCGCTGGCCAGCGGGGGCCAGCGCGCCGGGGCCCGGATCCGGGGAGAGGCGGCGAGGTTCCCAAAGGCGGGAGGGCCGAGGCCTCGAGCCAAACTTGTCACGGAGGCTGGAGGGGGAGAGGAGGGCGGATGGGGGAGAGCATGAGGGATCTGGAGAGGAGGGGGGATGGCGGAGGGGGGAGAAAAGGAGGGGGGAGTGGCGAGGGGGAAGCGGGGAGGAGGAAAGGGGCGAGGACAAGGGAGGAGAGGGTAACAGTGGAGGAGGGGGCCGACCCTCGTTTCCTTCCTGCTGCTCCCCTCTTCTCTCCCGCCTCTCCACCGCTATCCTTCTTCCCTCACCTTCCCTCTACGTACCCCCATCCTCCCTCTCTCCCTCTGGCCTATTGGCTTCCCCCCTCTCCTTCCCCCCACACCCCCGCTTAGACCTGCCCCCTCGCGCTCCTAGCACCCCGACCGCTTGCCGTGCGCTTTGCTGGTCATCCTCTTTCTCCTCTCGTTCCTGCTCCTCCTCATCCTCTTGCTCCCGAATCTCTCCCAGCCGTCGCTGCCTCTCATGCTTCGGCCAATTTAAATCCTTCAGTGATGATGCCTCATGTGATGACGAGGCCTGCGACTGCCCGCTGCAACCTGCGTTGTCTTACATTTGTTGATGCGATTATCTGCCATCCAAGTCCACTACAGCTCACTTCTTCCAATTCCATTCCTCAGCATCCTGCTGAGATCTCTGGAGGTCTCCGGAGGTCGTCAGAGGTTACTGCAGGTTTTATGAGGCTCTGGAGGTCTGTGGAGACGCAAACAAACCGTATTTGCCAGCTGGGACTCAGAACAATAAGATTTTCGATTGTGGATCTGAGAACTAGCTATGGTGTGTAAATTGTGCGGTGCAAACTACGTGGTGCATCCAGGTCGTGTGACAAACACGGTGCAAGATACTTTGGTGCAATCTGCGTGGTGCAACATACGGCGTGCAAGCTATGTGGTGCGAATTGTGTGGTATCAACTATGAGGTGAACGCTATGTAGTGCAATCCACGTGGTGCGGCCTATGTGGTGCAAGCTATGTGGTGTACGATCTGTGGTTCAAGCTTTCCTGTGCAAGATGCGTCGGGCCATTTACTTGGTGCAAGCTATCAGGGAGCCCACGAGGCGCTCACGGGCGTGCACCAGGCGAAGCCTCAGCACACACACACACACACGCACACACGCGCGCGCGCGCGCACCAGCGCCGGGCGCCCACGAGGCGCCCACGGGCGGGCACAAAGCGAACCATCGGCAGGCCCCTCCAGCGCGGACCGCCCATGACCGCCCACGAGGCGCACACGGTCGGGTACCATGCGAAACCTCGGCACACACTCACACCCACACACACACATACCCACACACACACCCACACACGCACACCCACACACACCCACACCCACACACACACACCCACACACACCCACACACACACACACACACGCACACGCACACGCACACCCACACACACACACACCCGCACCCACACATTTTTCGTCGTTCGTCGCGGGCGGGAGACACGCCCGCGCGGCAAACCGCGCGCGCGCGCCCGGCAGCCTGTGAGGAAAGGAGGCGGAGAAGAGGAGAGAAGAGCGGGCCTCTCGCGGGCGGGGCGCCGGGGCCGCGGGGAGGCGCCGGCGAGCGGCGGGGCAGCGTGGAGGCAGCGGGGAGGCGCGAGCGGCTGGGCAGCGGGGCAGGCGCTGGGCGCGCAGCGGCGTTCGGGCAGGGGCCGCGCCAGAGGCTGTCGGGCGGCGGGCAGCATGGTGCAAGGCAGCGCCAGGGAGCGCCAGGGCGCTGAGGCAGGAGAGCAGCAGAGAGGCGCCGAGCCCGGCAGTCAGTTCTTGCACTGTGGTTGTGTGAGCCATGGGTTGCAGGCCATGCGGTGCAAGCTGTGCGGTGCAATCTGCGTGGCGTAAGCTATGTGGAATCAGCTATAGGTGGTTCAGTCTCCGTGCTGCAAGCTGCGTGGTGGAAGCTGTGCGGTGCAAGCTACGTGGTGTAAGCTATGTGATCCAGTCTCCGCGGTACAAGCTACCGCGGCGCTCACCACGCGCCCACGGGCGGGCACCATGCGAGACCTCGGCACGCCTCCCCCCCGCGCGGGGCGCTCACGAGGCGTTCCCGGGCGGGCACCAGGCGACACCGAGGCCCCCCCCCCACTAGCGCGGGGCGCCCACGAGGCGCCCGCGGCCGGGCACCATGTGGAGCCTCGGCGCGTGCCCCCCTCGCGCGGGGTGCCCACGAGGCGCCCACGGGCGGGCACCAGGCGAGGCCTCGGCGCACACACACACACACACACACACACACACAGATCCAGACACAGACACACACAGACACACACGCACACACACACACACGCGCACGCACGCACGCACGCACGCAAGCACCCACATACACGCACACACGCACAGGGCGGGGCGCCCACGAGGCGAGCCCGGGCGCTCAGCGGCGGGCACCAACCGAACACCCGGAACACTAAACCATTGAATTGCATCAACGAGGCAATAGCCCTCGAGTGCAAGCCTCGTTACGGGAAGAGCTAAAGTAAGAAGCCCTGAGCCAAATCATTGTTTGGGGAGATATTTCGAATTTGATGTAGATCTTCGAAACTCGAGCCTCCTGGATGCAGATCTCTGGCGGCCTCCAGAGGTCCTCAGAGGTCACCAGAGGTCTCACGAGGTTCCAGAGGTCTGCGGAGACGCCCGTATAACCACACGGTATCAAACAACACGTCGATCCTCGAACATCGAACCTCCTGGATGCAACCGGGAGGTGGGCTCGGCGGACATGCAGAAGCTCGAGGAGGACATCCCCGGGGTGGCTGGGCGGATCGGAAGCGGGGAGGGGGTGCCACTGCTGTCGCGGTGCATCTCGTAGGGGCGTTCGGACGGAGGCGGCCAGAGCCTCTGACCCTCTGTTTCCTTTATCCCCCTCGTCCTCAGCATCGTTCTGCTCAGCGCTTCGATCTCTCATACTACGTCCACCTCGAGATCGGGATCTCGAACACCGACTGCATTTACAGTAACCATAGGAAGGCCCGCGCCGCCGCGCTGGACAGGCTCAGGCGGTGAGAAACAGAAGCCCCGCCCACGCCGCCGCGTTGAGCCGGATGCCTCCCTTATCGCACAGCTGCTCCTTCTACTTGCTGCTCTTGCTGCTCTCCGAAGCGCCGCTGACTGTGTCGCGCGACGTGCGCCATGCGCGAGACCAGGCATGCTGAGACCAGTGTTTGGACTCCGAGGGCGAGCCTGCCCGCGATCACCAGACAAGTGTCCAGAGTCGGGTTGTCCAGATGCCTACACGTGCGTTGGCGGCCAGGCACCAGCAGATTCGACGCAGAAGAGTTTCGGCGTCCCGGCGGGAACTTCAGTATCCAAGGCCAGGGCCGATGCCGCGACGGCGGGCAGGTTGCCACCGTGTGAGCGACCTTCTCTCCTTCTTTTTCTCTCTTTGTCACTCTCTCTCTCTCTCTTTCTCTCCATCCCTCTATGTATGTCTCTAGTTGTTTATCTCTAACTCTCTTTTTCTCTTTCTGCCTCTCTCTCTCTCTCTCTCTCTCTCCCTTTTTGTTTTTTTTTTTTTTCTTTTCTCTCACTCTCTCTATCACCCGATACATATACATATATATATATATATATATATATATATATATATATATATGTATATATATGTATATATATGTTTATATCTTAAGGACTTCGCCCTCTGCCGCCAGCCCCCTATTACTAATGCGGGCGGCTGCGCGGGGGTCTCCTTGGGGCCTCTTGGGGGTCTCCTTGGGGCCACTTGGGGGCCTCTTTGGGGTATCCTTGGGGCCTCTTGGGGGCCTCCTCGGGGCCTCTTGGAAACAATATTTTGGGCCTCTTGGTGGTATCCTTGGGGCCTCTTGGAGGCCTCTTGGGGGCCTCGTAGGGCCTCCATGGGGACCTTCTTGGGGCGTCCTGGGGCCCTCTCGGGCCGGAAAGGTCGAGTTTTCGGTTCGTGGACTCCCTCCTGGGCCTCTCTTGAGACTGTCTTAGGGCCCTTTTGGGCCGTCTGAGGCGCCTCTTGGACTGTCTTGCCTTGGGGCCATCTTCGGCCGTCGTGGGGCCGTCTCGGGTGCCTCTTGGGCCGTCATGCGTGCTTCTAGGGCCGTCGTGGGGCGATCTTGGGAACCTCTTGGTCCGTCTCGGAGCGTCGGAAAGCCGAAAAGGCGAGAAGGTCAAACACCTTCGAAAACAATAAGAACATGATTGGTTTTCCGGCTTCGTGGGACCCTCTTGGGAGGCCTCTTGGAGGCCTCTTGGGCCGTCTTGGAGCATCTTGGACCGTCTTGGGGCCATCGTGGGACGTCTTGGGGCCATCTTGAGCCGTCTTGGCCTCCCGAGGCTCTCTTCGGAGCCTCGTCGGGCAATCTTGGTGGCCTATTGGGCCGTTCTGGCCGCGCGGTGGCATCACCATGAGAATCCTGGGATGGCCCGGAGCAGCCCTTTGGCTGTTTGGTGGCGCGGCGGGACCCCTTAGCAGACAGTCAACAGGATGCAGGAAACAGGACTGGGAGACAAGAGGCCAAACAACAAATTACAACATATAACACATGACAGCAGACCGCACACCTTCGCAGCCTTGCTTCCCTGGAGGGGGCCGGGCGGATGATATGTGTATAGAAACACAGGTAGTGCACTCACTTTGCGGTGCTTGTGGGGTTTCGAAAGGCTTGGTTTGGTCCTGCAGACTAAGCGACGCGCCGCGGGGGGCGGCGGTTCCCGCGGCGCTCGAAGTCAGCAGTGGAACAGGGAGTCCCGCACGCACGGGGCCCCACTACGGATCGGGTCCCACACGCGCGTCGGGTCCGACGCACGTTTGGTTCCAGGGGCGTTGGGCTGCTCACGCGCACACGAGCACACACGTGCACGCGGGAATGCGCACGCATGGTCTTCCAGATTTTGTGGTTCCAGCACGCGGCGTTCAACACGCACATTGGCTCTCACCCGCATGGGATTTCACCGCTCTGTTGCAGTGCTTTTGTGTGGGGCACACGCGCTGGCATCGTTATTCGTGCAGGTGCACAGTTCCCTGCTAAGTTTGCTCATGCTGCCTCGTGCCGGCCTTTGTTTCATTGATTTTCGCGCTCCTCCGAGAAGTAGCATATGGGACGCGACTGATTTTCATTACTTAGTGTTGATGATCGTGGGGGCGAGCACATGTATACGCATCGTGGCGGGCATTGGGTTCGGCCTAGACATGTAGAGGGCATGTTGAAGGCAAAGCGCCAGCGACATGATTATGAGCACTGGGTCGGGAAAGGAGGAGGCAGGAGGGAGGCATACGTTAAAAAAAATGCCTTTCGGTATCCCCGTTTCCACGGGTATGCGATTACTGGGCGCCGTGACGATGTTGCATCTCTTGTGGCGGTAAAGTGGTTAAGCCGAATACCAACCGAATAGCAATGTCGTCAGGGTGCACTTCCGTGGCGCTGATGGGACCTTGTGATTCGGAGCAGACGCAAGTTGTCAAGGCTGCTCCGCAAGAGGGGCGGCCGATCGCCTGCGCCTCTTGGCAATGAGGGGGCGATGGGCCGCGAGGTGTCGTTATACTTATGATGTTTGCCGTTGGCCGGCCAGGCAGCCGGGTTCTCCCGAAGAGGTCGGTTGGGGCACGCGGTGGGCCTAAATCAGGCCGCGCACACGATTCTGCGATTGTGTGTGCGCAGGATCTCCGGGTATGCGCCCAGCAGTTGGCATCCGCATGTTCTGGGCGTCATTGCAAAAGAGAGATCCCGTTCTCAGGCCCATTGACCGGCTCTAGATTGGGACGGGATTTCTGGATGTGGGCGTCCCCCCAGGAGGTCAGCATGGCAGCACCAGAGTTGCGCATGGGCGCGCTGGACACGAAGGCTGACCTGCAGGTCTCAGCCGCCTCCAGCGCGGGGGATCGCTGAGGGAAACACGAATCCTTATCCTCCTCATCTTCACCTTTTACTCTAACCGTTCTCCTGGCCATCTGGCGCCTTCCCCTTTTCCTCCGCCACTTCCTCCTTTCATCTTTACCGTCATCATGAGGGTGCTCCTCCTCACCCTCCGTCTCCTCATGCCGCTGTTCTTGCTTTGTCAGTCTACGCCGCAAGTTACGCCGCCTCATCCCTCTCCTGCTCCTCATGTCGCGGCATCCTCCTGACGCGGCTATCTCGCGCGCCCATGCACCCCGATCACGTGCACAACACCGCAAAATATGTTCATAGTTTTAGAAGGGCGATGGTGATGAGAGGGATGTGGGCCAGGATGAGGAGCACGTAGGAGTTTCCACTTTCGTTAGTTCACCGTCGTAATATTCATCATCTACTGTCTTGCTCGCAAGAGGATGTGCTCGTGTATCTTTAGGCTCGCGGAAGGCAGCGGACGTACAGGTTGCGCCCACTGAGGGTCTCTAGAGCGGACCACGGCAGGATTCCTGGGGACTCTAATTCCGCATGTTGCTGACCTCGTCACCTCCGAGCTGGTGCGAAACGGACTGCGAGACCACTCGCAGCGTGCCTCCCCTCAAGCGGCGCCCAGTCATCTGGCGATGTGTGTTTGTTTTCCCCGCGGGCCCCAGAGCTTTCGACCCGTTGCTTGCGCGTTGTTTTCCTGCCCATATCCACTTTTCATTCGCCCAGGAATCGAAAACGGCCCACGGATGCCGATAGCGAGGTCTGGATGACGTGTTCCTCGGCGCTGCATGGTAAGGCTTGGGGCTGCGCGTAGACAGCCTCCCCACGTAGTTCCAGCTGGCCCCAACAGGCCCCTCGAGTGGCCCCAGGCGGTTGTCTCAACACCCTTGCGCCGCCTCTGACGGCGCCCCTGGAAAGCTCTGCGCCCCTGGCTTGCGGTGTTGAGACCGCCGGACTACTCGGGGGAGAAGGAAGAGGAGGAGGAGGAGGAGGAGGACGAGGAGGAGGAAAAGGAGGAGGAGCAGGAGGAGGAGGAGGAGGAGTCCGTAGCCATTTTGGCTCAAGCGGTTCGGCTCAGGCTTGGCCTCTTGGCGTGGGGGAGGCGCGCCCCTGCCAGCGAACCCACGGCCACTTCAGTCCCAGGGTTTTTCTCAGTGAGCTCCTGTTGGAGCACTCCGCATTTCACATATCTGCCAGATGCCTCCCAATGGGAAAGGCAAAGGCCAATCGGGATGGATTTGGAATGGTTCTCAGACTACTGTTACTTGTGGTATGTGTGGTTGTGCCAAGAATCCAGCTCATTTCAAGTGGCGCTACCACTGCAAGGCCTGGCTCCCCAAGATCGGCTATGGGACACCCCCTCCTCTCGGCGGCAGCTGGGCGAAGGGCGACACTAAGGGGGCCAAGGACAAAGGTGGCGGCAAAGGCAATGGCATACAGCTCTTCAACCAGTTGGTCCAGGGAGCAGACACCAATTTCAAGGACGTTCCCCCAGAGAATGCGAAAAAGGTTCTTTCAAGTGTGCTGGACAACGCCAGGGTCATCCGTGACTCCCCGATCCCAGCCAGCAAGACCCTCCAGTCCACGGAATCAGAGATCAAGAAGCGGGAGGCCAAGATCCACAAATACGAGTTCCGCCAGGACCAGATCTTGGAGCAGATCGAGGCCCTTGAGCTGGAAGGCAAGGAGCTTCAATTCTCTATTGACAAAGAGGTGGAGGCCATCAATCTCGCTCGACAGCATGCAGCATCTAAGCTTCAATCTCATCACGGGTTGCCTACACCAGATTCGCTGGGAGACAACCTTCAAGCGTGGACAGAGGTCATCGGCCAGCTGGACAACGACTTGCGCCAGCATCTCGGCCAGCTCTACCAGTCCGCGCTGGCCGGCATCAGCTCAGGCTCCGCCGACGTCTACTCGGCTGCCACCAACATGGCCTCCACGCTGCTGGCTCCCTCGGACAATACCGAGGAACGGAGGGCACAGCCAAACGGGGACGATGAAGGAGGAGGAGGAGGAGGAGAGAGGATGTCGCGTTGGCAGCAGCGAGAGAGCGGCAGACCTTTCCCCGACACCTCCCCTGGTCGGTCCCTAGAGTACGAGGTATCCGATGATGATGACATGGATGAAGATCCAGGAGGATTGGAAGCTGCTGACCAGGGCCTTCATGGGGCCCTGGCGCAAGAAGGACTCCTGGATGGGCCCCAAGGGGCTAGGGTCTCTCGGGTCATTGCGAGGCACCTCAAGAAGAATACTCAGCCCCGCAGGCCACCTTCAGGCCCATCGGCTGAGAGGGGTGAGCTGGACACACCGCCGCCGCGTGTTTAGCAGGGCTCGTCTCAGAGTCACAACCTTTAACGGTTCCTGTTGGTCGACCTGCAAGGAACTCCTACAGGACTCAAAGTGTGAAGTTGTTCTTCTCCAGGAACACAAGCTTCTGGCAGAAGGTCTCAGTTCAATGCAGTCTACTATTCTGCGAATGGGATGGCATTCGGAAGCTTCTCCAGCTATTGTCAATACTAACGGTTCTGCCACAGGTGGAACAATGGTGTGCGTCAGGAAACATCTGGATTCTTGGGGCTTCGACAAGAGCAACTTTTTTTCCTGGGCGTTTATCTGGGTGCTTTCTGCGAACAGCTAAGCTCGGGGTCATTCAGGTCTTCTCGGTTTACCTGCAGGACCAGGTGCACATGAATGAACTAAATCGACGGGTCCTCAATAAGGTTTGGCCTCGGGTCTCTCAAGCTGGCACACCGCTTCTCCTGGGAGGCGATTTCAACATGCCAGCATATTTGGTTTCGACGTATCAGCCGCTCGACTAACCCCACCGGTGTACCATGCACGTCTCCTCGATCGCAAGGTGTGGCAACCCCACTGGTGCATCCTAGGAAGACCCATGCTCGCCCAACCCCGCCCGCGCATCCTACACGCCCCCTTTTCGCAAAGTGTTGTAAGCCCAACTGCTCAAACTCGCAGCTCCTGGTAATCACAACTGTTAGCACCACGCGCCCCCTGACCGCAAGGTGTGGTACTCCCTTCCAGTGGCCCCTACACTCTAGGCCTCCTGGGTGGGGTCGGAGTATATGGGGTCGGAGGATCGCGCCGTATCGTCAATGCATCGACGATGCGGCTCGATGTGGAGCCCATATTTCCCCACGCCAGCGCCGCCGATGCATCGACGAAGTCGGCGTGCTGCTGATGCATCGCCGATGCATCGGCGATGCATTGGCGATGCGGCGCAATCCTTCGACCCCATCTACTCGGGCACCATCTAGGAGGGCTCTATACACGTATTCCCAATCGCAAGGTGCGGCAACCCCACTTGTGAAACCCACGCGTTTCTTTGCAAGGTTAAATTTGGCTCTGTCATGCGGGTGCCATCAGCACATGCGCTCCTTCAGGGCGGCAACACCTCCACGATTGACTATTTTGTGCTCAGCCGTGTATTGGATGAGTGCGGCCCGACCTTGCATGTGAATACGTTGTGGCACAAGCGCCCCCACCTTCCTGTCGAATTGAACATTGACAAGTGCATAGACGAGAGTATCTTAGATGAGGTGTATATTTGGAATGGTCTACACACGCATGGAATGAGCTGGTAAGTATCACGCAGACCGATCCACAAGCTCAAGGTCGCAGAGGAGGTCTCCCGCCTGAATTTCAAGATGTGCCTCTGCGCAAGGTGTTGGCTGCTAAGGCTTACGCCAAAGTATTTCCAGGCCGTGCGCTGCTATGGGTCTTTAACAGATTGCAGGAGATCGAGGCGCTACTGGTCAAGAGTGGACCGTACAAGCTCGACTCCTACCTCACCTCCCTCCTCCGACAGTTGTGGGAATTACCAGAGAAGGGGGGCCCTTTCGACGCTATTGGAAACAGGGCATCAGTTCCTGGCCTCCTTGTTTGACATTGCCCGCGCCATTTTGATGAAGAGTTCTAATGCTATGCGAGTCTCACTGTTGGCGCCAGTTAACAGGTTTGTGCAAGCCTCACAAAGATGCCATCGTTCTGAGCACACTTTCCTCTCCGTTTCGAGCTGCCCATGAATCGGCGCTGAACTCTGTTGGTAAATCATGGGCTGCTCGAGACAAAGGGCCGCTGAGTGATGCATTGTAATGGGTTCTCGAGGTAGTTTGGGCGATAGACAGTCCCTCCACTTTCACAACCTGCCAAGGTGATAAGTTGGTCCTCACTGAATGCCCCCCGTCGGTGGTCACTCAGACTTTTGTCGAGGACTTAACCAGCCAGAAGATTGCCGCAGTATTTCGGAAGAGGCTTGCGCCCTTGTCTCACCCCATTGCTCGGCAGGTAGAGGCAGAAGGATACTGGCTGCGTGCAGGCAAAAAGGTCTTCCACGGGAAATCTTTACCCAATGAACATAAGCATATTTTTAAACAGGTTCTTGCGGGGAACCTCCCCACTTGCGAAAGGCTCCACAAGTGGGGCTATGATGCGTCGCCTCTGCGTTTGTTCTGTCATGTGCCAGACACACCCTTTCATCGTATATGGGAGTGTGTCCATGGGGCTACTAAACGCAAGGAAGTTTTCAGTCCAGAGTTGATCCAGGACGCCCTGGAAGCTGGCCCTGGTCACCCACTCTTTGCTCACTTCCTTCAACTGCCCCCTCCATGCCAGAGGTGGCCCAGGACTGGGATTTAAGATTTGTGGGTGCTTGCTGTAACCCAGTCGACCCATTTCATTTCCCCCCCAGAGGCTTTTATCTTCACTGACGGGGGATGTGACGACCCTTCAAATTCGGAACTAGCTCGTGCAGGGGTGGCGGCAGTGGAAGCCGACATTGAGGGGAATCTCCTTCGTTCGATTTACTCCCCTCTCCCTCGAGATTTCCCTCAATCACCTGGAGATGCCGAGCATTCAGCAGTGGCCTTGGCGATTCTCCGATCGCTTGACCCTGCTAGCAACACGTATCACTACGATTGTTCTGCCCTGGGCCAATTTGTCATTTGGACAGAGAAAGCCCTTGCAGGTAGAACCCCGCAAGCCAGATGCTGGATGCCGGCTGCGCGTGCGCTCGGTTCATCACCCACCCCTGCCATGTGTAAAGTGAAGGCCCACCTACCAGAGGGGGAGGCCCAATATGGGATTGCATTATTCCATATTAAAGGCAACTCACTTGCAGATCACTTCGCAGGATTGGGAAAGAGAGCGCACGGCCGACCGCAGAATACGATAGATATCTACACTCAGGCTCTAGCTGAATATGAGAATTGAGTTATAGGAGCCTGTGTCGTTTTACATGTGTGGCCGAAACCACATGATATTTTCGGGCAACTGGCCAGGCCAAGAAAGGCCCGCCGCCCCAGGTCCCAGGGGAAACCTCACCATCCTGTCTGGGCCGGCAAAGCTTTCCGCTGCCGTACTTGCCTCCGCAGATGCTCCAAGCAGAGCACATTTTCATGTGAAGCCCTAGCCCCAACCCTAGCAAGGCTTCTGCTCACGGGTGGGGGGAGAGGGCACCAATTACACTCATATCGAACTCAGGGAAGCGAGCTGCCTGTCATTTTCTGCGTTCTCTGTGGAAGGTTTGCTACACAGAAGACCAAAGGCCTGCTGGAGAATTGCCCCCGCCTAAAGAAGTCTGGGGAAAGGAACAAGCTCCTCCGAGGCCTCTTGCCAGGCACTTCTCTTTTGTTGGGCCCTGCCTTCCCTCTTTCGTTCCTCTGGTCCTCCCCTGGCCCCCCCCCTCCCCCACAGGGCCACGACCTCAGGAGAGCAGCCACCAGCCTCCACGGGAGGCCAGAGAGATGGATGCGAGTGCTGCTGCCCCTGCAGAAAGCCAGGAGCAGCCACTTCTCCAGTCCACTCAAGATGTGCTGCAGGCCCTTCCAGAGGAGGAAGACATAGCCCTCCCGCGGCCTGCTGCCCGTGTAAGCTCGGCTGAGCCGTCGGGTTCCGTTTGAATTTCTGGTCCTTGCTGTGCCCGCGTTCGCCACTGCCGAGGTTCCTCCTCTTTGCGGCCCGTGGCCAGCCCAGACCAGGTCAAGTAGCGGCAGCCCGTGACTTCGAGCTCAAAGGATGGGGGAAGTAGGGAAGGGAGTACCTTTTCGGCTGCTGCTACCGATCACTGTTTTGTTTGCCTTGGGAGTGGCGGCACTCCTGTCAGGGGATTGTGCAAAGGCCTAGCCGTATGATCACCCTGCTCAAGTCTTGAAGGTCTTGAAGGAGGAGGAGGAGCAGGAGGAGGAGGAGGAGGAGGGGGGGAGGGGGAGGGAGAGGCGGAGGAGGAGGCGGAGGCGGCGGCGGAGGCGAAGGGGGAGGGGAAACTGTTGGGGCCAGCCGGGAATGCCTGGGGGATGGTTTTCTGTACGCAGCCCGAAGTCTTGCCAGCGCTCCACCCACGTGTGCTGCCCTCAGGGCTACTGCTATCGATCGAGGATCTAGCCCACTGGCACAGGCTGAGCACAGGCGATCGCCCTGTTCGCAGCACCCCCCAAGCCTTTGTCGCGTGTTGGCCCGGGGTGCTGCTCGGGAGCCTCCAGCTCGTAGGTTGTTCGGGCATATCGCTTAGAGGCAGCGGATGCGAGTCCTCAGCGTTCTTGCCAGTCGGCCGTCGTCAGCGAAGTATTCGTGTGGCCGTCATCGGCTACGTGGCCCTTCGTCGAGCCGTAATTGGCGAAGCGATCATCAACGCAAAATGTTGCCTGATGTCTTTTCCTCAGATTCCTCAGGCAGGGTCCAAAGCTGAACCGGATGATGACGAACCCCGCCTACGGGCGCGGCCCCTTCTCCGCCTTTCTTGCGGACCGCTGTTCCTGATGCGACCCCTCCTCTTGCCGTCTCCCCTGGGCCTGGCATCCCTGTCGCCTGGCCCGGCTCGGCCGCCGGCACCCGTGGCCTCTGCCGCTGCTGCTGCGTCGAGGCGCGCTCATTCGGCCGCGCGGCTGGCGCCGCTCTATGGGCCGTGAGCCTGGGAAGTGCAGCGAGCGCCGTTGGGCGCTCCTCATTTTTGGTCAGTTCGGGCTCTCCATTTGGGCTCGACGTGTCAGTTCGGGCTCTCCGTTTGGGCCCCGCTTTGGTACCGTCGCGGGCGGGCCGTTTTGGGGGGCCTCTTGGGCGTCCTGAGGCCGTCCTGGGGCCCTCTCCTTGGGGGGCCTCTTGGGCGTCTTGAGGCCGTTTGGGGGGCCTCTTGGGCGTCTTGAGGCCGTCCTGAGACCCTTACGCCGTCGTTGGGCGATCTTGGGATGCCCCTGGGCCGCCTTGCACCGTTAGAACCTGGGTCGGAACGCCGTCGGGCGGCCCCTCGTGCGGAGGGCCCCCAGCGGGCGCCCTCGCCGGCGGGGGGGCCGCAGGCTCTCCTGGAGGGCGGGCGCGACCAGGCGACGACCAGGAGGCGGCGACCCGAGCCCGACCTCTCGTCTTCTCGCTTTCTCGCTCTCTCTCTTGCACCCTCTCTCTCTCTCTCTCTCTCTCTCTCTTTTTCGCACCCTCGTAATATTTTGTATGCTTGTTTGTCTCTTTCTCTCTCTCTCTCTATCCCGCTCTATCTCTCTCTCTCTCTTTCTCTCTCTCTCTCTCTGTTTCTCTCCTCATACATATATATACATATATATATATCGCACACTCATCCTATGTTGTATGCTTGTTTTTATATTTCTCTGTCCCTCTCTCTCTCGCTCTCTCTCTCTCTCTCTCGCTCTCTCTCTCTCTCTCTCTTTCTCTCTCCTTCCCTCTCTTCATGTGTGTATACATATAGAAACTATGTCCACACAGGCACATGCACATGTTTTCTTTGTGCGTAGATGCGCACCAATCTGTGTATCGAAGACGCCTACGGCGAATCACCGCCGCCCCCCTGCCCGTTTTTGGAAGCGCCTATGTGGCCGAACGTTGAGGCCAGACCTGCCAAACTATCGGACCATGTGTTCCCCGAATCGGTTTGGAAAGCCTTCGGGGAACACGTGGGCATCTTGAAGGTCATCTTGGCCGCCTGGAGGCCATTTTGACCCTTTCGGGCCTTCTTGGAGGACTTCTTGCAGGGCTCTTGGGCCGTCTTGGAGGCCACCTTGTGCGTCTTGGAGGACTCTTGGGCCGTCTTGGGGGCCTCTTGGGGCCGTCTTGGGCCTCTTGGGCGACCTTTGCGGGGCACTTGGGCCGTCTCGGGCCGTCGGAAGGTAAAACAAACAAATGCCACAGTCCTTCAAAAGTTCATGGGTAACCAATGATTTTGGCTTTTTCGGGCCTTCCTGGGGGCCCTCTTGAAGGAATATTGGGCCGTCTTGGGCCATCTTAGTGCCATCTTCGGCCGTCTTGGTGGGCCCCTGGCCCGTCCGACGCCGTCGGAAGCCGTTGGCGAGGGCCTCTCTGAGCCGACTTGGGGCCCTCTTGGAATGCTCCAGGGCCGTCTTGGAGGCCATCTTGGGCGTCTGAATAGCCTCCTGGGCCGTCTTGGGGGCCTCTTGGGGCCGTCTTGGGGGCCTCTTGGGCCGTTCTGGGGCCATCTTGGAGGCCTCTTGGGCGATCTTTGGGGGCTCTTGGGCCGTATCGGGCCGTCGGAAGGCCGAAACGAAGCAAATGTCAAAATCCTTCAAAAGCCTAGGGTAAATCATTGTTTTTGGCCTTTTTCTGGTCTCCTGGGGGACCTCTTGGAGACCTCTTGGGCCGTTTTGGGCCAGCTTCGAGCCAACTTCGGCCATCTTGGTGGGCTCCTGGCCCGTCTGACACCGTCGGAAGCCGTTTGGGGGGCCTCTCTGGGCCGACTTGGGGCCCTCTTGGGGTGCTCCAGGCCGTCTTAGAGGCCATCTTGGGCGTCTTGGAGGCCTCTTGGGTCGTCTTGGGGGCCTGCCTCTTGGGCAGTCCTGAGGCCATCTTGGAGGCCTCTTGGGCGCTGTGGGGGCGATCTTGGGGGCTCTCGGGCCGTCTTGGGTCGTCGGAAAGCCGAGAAGAGGCGAATGCCAAAATCCTTTCAAAAAACCTACGTAAAATCAATGATTTTGGCCTCGGGCCATCCTGGAGGACCTCTGGGAGGCCTCTTCGGCCGTCTTGGAGGCATCTTGGAGGCTTCTTGGGCGAACTTGGGGTTATCTTAGACTCTCTGAGGCCGTCTTGGAGGCCGTCTTGGACCATCTTCGGCGGACTTGGAGGCCATCTTGGACCATCTTGGAGGCCATCTTGGGCCAACATGGCCATCTTGGAGGCTATCTTGAGCCGTCTTGGAGGATTTTTAGGAGAATTGAGCTCCGTGGCAATCCTCCCGGGACCCCGGCGGGACGCGCCGGAGCCCCAGGGGGGTTCTTTCGGAAAAGAACATCAACCAAAAGCGGTAGGATCTGTCACGCCAGGCACCCCTTTGATGAAGCAAAAGGGAGCGGCGGATCGAATGGCCCTCGGCCCATCCGGCCACCGTGCCTGGGTTGCGAGTCAGAGTTCTCAGGGATGCTTCTTGGGGACTCTTCGGAGCACTCTCGGCGGCCTCTTGGGGGCAGTTTTAGGGCCTCTTGGGAGCCTATTGTGGGCTTCTTGTGGGCCTCTTGGGGCCTCTCGGGGACCTCTTGGGGCCTCCAGGGGGCCTCTTGGGTGCCTCTTGGGGCCTTTTGCGGGCCCCTCGGGGCCGACGGCTCGAAATGTCCGCTCGGGTCACCCATCTGGGCCCCTCGTTTTTGCGACCTCTTGGGCAGTCTTGGGCGCCTCTTGGGCCGTCTTGGTGCCCTCTTGGGCCGTTTTGGGGCCCTCGTGGAGGCCTATTTGGCAATCTTGGGGCGATCTTGGGGGGCTAGGGCCGTCCGGGAGCGTCCGGAAGCCGACAAGGCCTGAAATCCAAACAATCTGAACAACCTGAGGGAAATCAGTGATTTGGGCCTCTTGGAGGCCTCTTGGGGCGTCTTGGAGGCCTCTTGGGCCGTCTGGGGGGCATCTTGAGCGTCTTGGGGCGAGTTGTCTTGGCCATATCTGCTGTTCGAGTTGTCTTGGCCATATCCGAGCATTCCCAGACGGCGTGGGCGGGGGAGTAGGCCGAGGCCGGTAACGGCCGCTATCGCGACGTTGTCCAAGGGTCGACTAGACGTAAGAGTGACCTTTCGCTGGAGTGACCTTTGGTGCGGGCCCACTGGGGTGCCCCGATCGCCAAACGCGAGGCGGCGGAGGCGTCTTACGCGCTTGCTTTTGGCCTCCCCGCGGCCCCCAAAAAGCCGCGCACGAAAGGTCACTCTTACCCAGGGTCACTTTTGTGCGTAGCCGAAAGGGGTGTGGGGGGTGGGACATCGTGGACACAGCTGGACGGCGCGGCCTGGAGAGACTTGCTGGTCAGCGCTTCCGGAACCCCCGTACAGAGAGAACCAGGACGTCGCGGCCAGCCGCTGGTCAGTGCCACGGGTTGCCCAGGGGTTCGAGCAAGAGAGAACAAACCTGCCGCTCTGACCGACATCTCCGTCCTCCCCTTCCTTCTCTTGCCCTCATCGACCTCGTCCACCTCGTCCACCTGGTTATTATCCTGATCCTTCTCGCGCCCGTCTCCTCCTCCTCCTCTTCCTCTTCGTCGTCGTCCTTGTTCTGTTCCTCCGCCCCCTCCTGTGCGCCCTCTCGCCCGCCTGGTAGCTCCAGCGGCATCTCCGCTCCCGGGAGTTCGTGCTTCCTCGCCCCACGTTGCGCAGTTCCTTTCGGCGGGCGTCCGTGCAGTTTTGGTCCGCAGTGCCTTTGCTCTGGCCGGACGTTGCGTCTTCAGGCATACGTCTTTGTCGTCCTTTTCGTTCTTCCAGTCGTCCTGCTCATCCGCCCCTCATCCGCCGCCGCCGTCGGACGCAAAGCGGGCATCTCCATGAGCGACCACTAGAGCTCGTCACATAGCTTTCCGAGCAAGACCGCCAAGCTCTTAAGCCGTGTAGCGCCGCCGCCGCGCCGCCGCTTCCTTCTACGACCGAGCCTTGTTATGCACGCGCGCGTCTCTCGTCGTCGTCCTCCTGCGCCACCTCCCCCGCCTCCGTCCTTCCCCCTCCCCCTCTTCAGGATCCGGAAGGCCTTCAAGAACTCCGCCCCCGGCTTGTTCTCCGCGCTCGTGGACGGGTCGGCGGCGCGAGCGAGGAGGGAAAGGAGGAGGGAGGAGTAGGAGGGGGTGGAAAGGAGGAGGCAGAAAAGGAAGTGGGCGAAGAGGGCGAGACGTGGGCACCCCCAGCACTCCGCCGAAATACGCTGACTGCAGCCGGAGTCCGCCGGATGGTCATGACCGCATGCCCCCGATAATACAGCACCCTCCTTTCCCACGATCATCATGATGATCCCCGGCCAGGACAGGTTTGGTCAGCGGTGGGGAAGTATGCATCGCAGGTTGAATATGAATATCATGGTTATCATGGTCACCAGCATCAGCATCGCTTTCAGCATTACCATCACCATCGTTATTATCGTCATTATCATCATCATGAGCATCCTGCTTCTCCTCCGTAGAAATTTTGGCTAAAGGCCGATGAGGGTCCCAGAGGCCGCGAGTCCCCCGTGCGTTTCGAGTGGTGGGGCTGTTCTGACTCCGAGAGCCAGTCACCCAGCGCATTCAATTTCTAAATTTCGACTCCGGTCCATATCTTCCATATATTGCCGAGAGGAGCGGCCATGGCACCGGTGCCTTCGAATCTGGGTGGTGGCGACGGCACTAGCAGTGGCTGCGGCGGCGGGGGCAATCTGCGTGGCGGAGCTCGGAGTCCATGGCGGATTCTGACGTGGGACCATGTTTAAAAGAAGCAAACAAAAAAACATATACTTCGACGGCTACAACAGAGCCGTTGACGGTCGCAGACGACGAGGCTCAGGAATCGGGGTCAAGGAGGCAGCTGCGGCGGCGGCGCCAATGCTCTCTGCCAGAACGAAAAGTGCGGTAAGTGGCTCTGGGCGGATCGGCTGGCGGACGCCGGCTGCAAGTGCAATGTGGCGGCTCGGCATGAGGGTCACTTGTTTCTGGCGAGTACAGGCTTGGCCGCTACAGCGAATATTACAACAGTTGCTGCGAGAAGGACACCCCTGGCACTTCCACCCAGGCGTTCGAGATCGCGGCGCAGCTCAGCTAAGGGGGCGACAAGACACGTACCGAGGAGGTGCTCAACATCTTGGCTCCGAAGCCTGCAGGATAAGGGGCTCAGCAACCGATGCGTGGGTCGCGAGCAGCATTCCGCGCAGCAGAGCACGCCGCGCAGAAAACTACGCGCGAGCAGCAGAAGGCCTACCGTCTGCGAGAGCTGTTCCTCGTGGAGGTGGAGGGACCGCTCAGTGGACCGCTCAGTGGAGGCGTCACAGGCGGAGGATTGCGTCAAAGGTTTTTGCGGCGTCGTCAACTCTGGTGGGTTCATCCAGCACGCGAAGGTGGTGGAAGCAAACATATTTTCGCCCATCGGTGCGCAGTTGAGCGATGACACCCTGGAGGTGGACATGGGCGAACTCCTTCGACCCGAACGACTGACAGAGCGTGGTCGCAGCCGCCGAGGTCGAGAGCCCGTGCAAGGGCATCGCCAGCACCGCGCCGACTGGCGTCACCATCCAGATGACGGCGAAGCAGGAGAGGAAGTGGGGGACAGCGCTTAGCGAGATCAGCAGCAGCGCGCAGCTGCCGCTGTTTGGGGCGGCAGCGCTCGCCACGGCGAAGCGGGGCAAGCGCGTGGAGGTCAGGGAGGCTCTGGTCGGCCATGCAAGCTGGGCGCAAGGGCTGAGGCGCTTGGCGCGGAACAGCTGCACCGCGCAACAGAGGGCCAGCAAAGGCGCGACAACGAAATCCGCGTCGACGGCGAGGGTGCGCAGCGGAACGAGCAGTGGACAAGCTCGTCCCCGAGAGCTCAGCAGCTCAGCGCGCTGGGCCGCGCGGGGGGGGCGGCCGCGGGCGAGGACTGGGCGCGCCATCGACGCGATGGCTCAGAGCAAAGCGAACGGCGCGGAACAGGCGGGGGTGCCGGCCTTCAATCGGCCGCCGCCGAGTGCGCGCGAGAAGCTGAGGCAGCTGATCGAACGCGTCGATCGCATGGCCGCATGGCCGCGGCAACTGTTCTCGGGCTTCTGCCAGAAGTGGCCAAGCCATGGCCCGCTAACACCAGCGAGCGGGCGAAAGCGATGGCAGGCAGGCGGGGCGCGGCCATCGCAGGCAAAAGCGCTGACGCAGGCCTTGGTTCGGTCGTCTGCCGACAATGTCATCCAGCGGGCGCCGTGGGAGATCTCCGCGGCCGCGGCGCTCTGGGAGTCGGCGGCGTTCTACGGCGCCTTGGAACCAGCGCAGATCTGAGACGAAGTCATAGGGCTTGGGCTGCCAGCGCGCACTTTGCACCTGGAGATGCTCGGTCGCCTGAGCAGCAGGCTCGCCGGGGAGTGGGCGGCGCGCGCGGGGCCCATCGCCCCGAGAGGTCCACCTGCGTGGGCGCTGGTGCGGGGGTCGACTCCGGCAGGGTCGCGCGGCGCGCGGTGCGAGGAGGCAAGCAACATGCATGCGCAATTTCGCGCTCGTTCGTGCGTCCATGACGCTCCCGCGAGGATCGAAGGGTCGAAGGCCCAGATGGTCATGCAGCTGGCGGGGGGGGGGAGTGGACTTCGCAGCAGGCGCCGAGAAAGCGAAGCTGGCGCTGTGCAAGAAGTCCACTGTCAGAGGCAGCGACAAGGAGGCGGCGCAGGAGATCGCGCTCAAGCTAAAGGCCGCAACGCCGCGGTCACGCTGAGGGATCGCGCAACCCACCTTGGGATCGCCTGGGGCAGCGTCGCGAAGGGCAAGTGCAAGCGCGCGCAGAGGGCGGCGCGCGCGGGCAGACATGGGGGGGGGTAGGCTGGGAGGGCGCACGGAGCTTGGGGAAGGGCTGGAAGCGGGGCGCGTGCAGCGGTGCGTAGAGGGTCGCTACCGCGGGCGGCGCGCGCGCAAGGTCTTCGGCGCGGCGCCCCCGCTAATCGCCGAGCGGGAGAGGAGGCTGGCAGGTGCGATCGCGCCTCGGCCGAGCGGGGGATTGGAGCAGGGGCGAGGCGACCCTGGGCGCGGGGCGGCTTTTTCGCCGCTGGACTCTTGGATGCACATCAACAGCGAGGGCAAGAGGAGGTTCGCAGATATGTAGATATGGAGAGGGATCGCCAAGGAGATGAAGGCCGATCAGCGGGGCGACGGACGGCGTGGCGTTCGCGAACCGCCAGGGCGATGGCCCGCGCGTTGCTCGAGCTGGGCTCGGCGCCCCGCGGCCCGCAGCGCCGGGGGCTAATTGGCGGCGAGGTCTTCGGAGGCGACGGCCCCGTTGAGATAGAAGACGGGGCGGGCGCCCGCGAGCTGAACGCGGCTCTCGCGGACGCTGTTGAGCGAAGGCAGCGGGCCGAGGCAGCGGGCCAAGGCGGCGGGGGCGGGCCCGGGGGATGGCGCGGGCCTCCACTCCGCGAGAGGCTTGAAGCAGGGCGTGCTCGACAAGGTCTGGGCCGCGCGGGCGATCTTCATTGGCGGTATCTGGCCGCGGCAACGGGTCGCCGACGTGGGGGGTCGAGTTCGAGGGCGCGGCGCGCCCTGGGCGCGAGGAGGAGCTGGGGGCCTGGGGGCATCGCGCCTGGAAGTGCAGGCGCAGCGGCATCATCCCCGGGCGCGAGAAGCACGATCCAGCCGCGCCTGCGGCTCAGAGGCATTCTGCCCACGAGCTGGACGCAGGCAACGGCGCCACCTGAGCCGAGAGAGGAGCTGCGCGAAGTGGGCAGATAGGCTGCATGGACGTCGACGGGTGGGTTGTCACGGCAGGCAATGCGTCAGGGGGCGAGAACACCGGTGACCCGACGGCGAGAGGAATCGCGCGTGGTTGGATCTGTCTCAACGGAGCTGAACGAAGGCGGGGTCACCATGGGCGGCCGATGGGGGCTTGGCAGGTTGGCGGCAGAGAGTCAGACGAGGCGAGCTCACAGCGATGGTCGAAATGCTCGAGCAAATGCAGCAAAACAAAAAACAGCAATTTATCGCGGTCGTCAAGATCGAAAGCCACATGCCGGTGACGGATGCCATCGAGGCGGGAGCGAACATGGGGGACTTTGTGGGCCCCCCCCCTCGCCGACGAGCTCGCGGAGGGCGTAGCTGAGGAGGTCCTGCCCCCCCTGAACGAAGTGCGGAGGATCAGGCACGCGGAGAAGGTTGCGGTGCACGTCCGCAAGAGGGCTTACGCGACGCTAGCAGCGGCGATGGAAGCGGCGCCATCCCAGCAGCCCGCCGCCAAAGCACAAGAAGGGGAAAACGAATCTCGAGAAGCACAAGCAGCTCGTCGCGCACACCAAGCACATCATCATAGAGGACCCGAGCGTGAATTTCTTGACGCGCGAGCAGTACGGAGCGAGGGTGCCGAAACACACGCCGGGCGCCTGGTTGAGGGAGCCCTGCGCGGAGCTTGTGACCAAGGAGGCGTCGCCCTCCAGCGCGAATCTGTGCCGGGGCGCCCGGGTGGGCCTGCAGAAGGCGCACGAGACGCACTTAGCAGAGTACGACGCGACACTGCAGGTCCACATCTGCACGGCCGGCGGCTGCGTCGCGATGGAAGCCATGAATGACCTCTCCAAGCCGCGCACCGGCGTCCTCGGGCAGCCGGGGGTCCAGGACCTGGCGCGGATCAGGGAAGGGCTGCAGCCTGGCAAGTCAGCGCGGGCGCAGGCCTACAACGCGGCCGCGGCGCAGGCGATCAAGAGGCCAACCAAAAGCCAAGCACGGCTGGTGCGACGGCGAGCGGAGCTACGAGGGCTTCAAGGGCGACGTCGTCGAGCGAAAGTACGTCGAGCTCCTGAGGCCGCCGTTGCGGTGTCGGGGGCTGGCCGCCAGCCTGGCGGCGGTGGATCCGCTGGACCACTGCTGCAAATTCATCCTGCGTCTCACACCTCTCTAAGGAGGCCCCGCGTGCGCGAGCACGTTATCGCTATACCATCGTATTGTTCAGGATTCCTGCTTTTCCCACCCGTCCCAGGAAGCCCCGCAAAGAACGAGTGCGGTATCGTTATACTAGGAGACAGTCCGTGCATCCGTACATTCCAAAAGATTCCCCTCCTCCTCCTCCTCCTGCTCCTCCTCTTCTATGTTGCGACGTGTCGGGGAAATTCGTTATCCCGCCAGCGCCCCGAATTCTTATCATCCCCACCGTGTGGTTCTCGGGGGCATAAGGTTGGTGAGTGTGCGAGATGACTTTGCGAGATCAGAGGTCGACGCACCAGAAGCGTCTGCATCTGTTGATCTTGCAGCACCTGGGAGGGAAACGGGGTTCAGAAGCAGAGCGCGGCGTGAGGACGAGCGCGATGAATACATGGCGCGCAATTTGCTCACAGGACGGCCGCGGCCGCCACCGCGCTTTCTTTCGCAGATCACAGGGTGGTGCGGTGGAGGAGGGGAGGAAGTAGGAAGAGTACGACGAGGAGAAGGAGAACTGCAGTGCAGTGCCAATGCTTTCGCGGTTACGCATAATCCTGTGTTGGCGTTCGTGAAGGTTGAATGACACACCTTTTGGTCCCTGAGCCTGTGCAGGGAGTATTGTTGGCACCTGGAGTCGGTGGGTGTTACGCGTGGTCAGCATATTCCGAGACAGCCCCCTAGGAGGAGGAGAAGGAACAGCACGGGCAGGATGAGGACGAGGGGGGAGGAAGAAGTTCGACGACCCGTGGGGAAACTGCTCTGTCAGGGGCTCTTCTGTGGCATCGCCGGCTGCAGGCATGCTTTCAACTGGCACGTCAATCGACGTCATGACTCAAAGCAGCTAGCTTGATGTGGCACAGCTGCTGCCATGATCAATCGTCGTACCTGTCAGTGTTCCGTTCTTGTCCGGCTGATCTCCCCAGGGGGTCCACCAGGAACGTGCTCGTGCACCCGGAAGGGATTGCACACAGGGTGGCTCGCCCAAATACTCCACGTGCCAGCCGTGCTGCACCTTCTCCTCCGCGGAGGCCTGACCTGGGGCGGCCCGTGGCTGGCCTGGCTCTGTCGCTGGCCCGCGACGTCCTGCGCCGCAGCGGGCGGCTGCCGCTCCCCGCCGTTTGGCTGCCACTCCGTTTGGCTGCCGCTCCGCGCCCGGCGCACGTCAGCACCGCGCCACGGCGCGCACCGCGGCCCGGGGGCGGCTGCGAGACAACCTGCGCGCGGGCAGGCCTCGCTCCTCCTCGGCGAGGCCTGCGGCCCGCTGGGGGGCGGCGGGGCGGACTTCGCACGCCTGGCAGCGCAGAGCGCGCTGCACAATCCCCTAGTGCTCTGGACTGAGACCTTCACCACCCACCAAACCACCCCAACCCAACCCGAAGGCCTCAATTTATCCTCGATTTCCAGTGGGGGGGGGTCGGGGAACGTTGAGAAAACACATGGAATCCGTACCCCCCCCAACCCGAAATTCGGGTCAAATTCGGGTCTTCGGGTTGGGTTGGGGTGGTCTGGTAGGTAGTCAGACCTGTGGGGGCCCGGCGCTCGCGGCTGCGCGCGCTCGCGGCAGCAGGTTGCAAGGACAGTTGAGCACACGGTGGCCCAGGCTCTGCGGGCTCTGGGGGCAGGGCCTGCCGGCGGCGGCGGCCGGCCCGGGAGGCGCGTCCCCAAGGACCTTGCCGTCATTGTCCGCAGGAGGTCTGGGATGACGAGCTGGGCTTGGGGAAGGCCCGTGGGGTCCAAGATTGGTTTCTGTCAGAATGGACGCTGGGTCCTGGCTCTCGACTTCTCAATGCTGTGCCTCTCGCCGGATCTTTTGCGCGCCGGTGCGCGGTGGGGAATGTTTGAAGTCCGACGGTGACCTCTTGAGATGCTTTCGTAGCCGAGCTCAGCACGCACATGCAGCTACTGAGGGTTGCGCGTTGCTCGGAACCAGTCGAACAGGAAGCTGTGCCGTGACGTTTGTCCGCGGCTGCAGCTGGGTTCTGCCCGTCTCTCCGCCTTCTCCTCCACCTGCCCCGCATGCAGTACTTAACGATGCTCTTTGGTTGCTTCGTTCTTGCGCAGGCATACAGCAAGGCCCGTTGCAGTTGAATTGGCGCCATGCAGACGAAACAGAGCAGCAGTGAATATGCAGCAACTTTGCGGAAACGGTGAGACGCATGCAGTTGGAAAGTGTTCCGCGTTCATGGGAGCAGCAAGCGCAATGAAAGGAGCGGAGAGCTTTATACAAGGAAGAGTGACGGCTGCATTGCGTGTGAAGTGGAAGTGGCTTCCTCATTTCCCTCCGTGCTCCACTGCAACTTCGATCTGTTGTTCGCCCATCACCCTCCATACCCCCAGTGGCCCATGTTCCTTTGCCAGGAGGGAGCTCGGACTAGTCAGGAGTTGTTGGTAAGGACGGTTGGCCAGCACGCCGCAGACAACATGCCACCACCACTATTCATGTTAGAAGGGGGTGCAACAGTGCTCGCGCAGGGTCCGGCATTTGCTGTCACGTGCACGCTATCTATATATACACATATATGTATATATATGTATACACATAACGGCTTTCAGCCCATCCCGCTACTGCCGTGCCTGGGTCGTTGACTAGAGGCCTCTTGAGCATCTAGAAATATCTTGGGAGGCCAATCGGGCACTATTGGGGGCCTCTTCCGGGCCCCCTGGGTGCTTCTGGAATTGGTTTGGGAGCGCGAAGTGTCAGTCCGTGTTCCTCGTCATGGGCCCTTCTTGGAACTGTCACCTCTAAATGGCCTCTTGGGCCTTCCTGGGGGCCTCAAGGGCCGTCTTGGGGCGATGCTTGGGGCCTCAGGGGCAGGCCGCCGAAGAGGCGAGAGTGCTAAATGAGACGGCCTGAGCTTGAGAGGCTCCACAAGCGCTGATTTGGAAGTGCGGATCCCCAACCACCATTCCTGGGGGAGGTCGCGCGACGATTCCTAAGAGCCCCCGGGAACGCCCAGTATGTTCCAGAACTCGGGGCGCGTACCCTCAGAATTACTACGACGGTCGGGCTCAACATGGCGTTTGCTTGGCCAGTCTGCAAGTAGTCCACATGATCATCCCTGTGATTGCGGAGGTTCCCTTCCTGCCTCCTTTGCGTAATTTGTTCTCGCCCTTGCGGAGACTTTCTTGCCGCTCATATCTCCTGCCTCCTTTTATCCCCTTTGTCCTCGTCTGCTTCGCTATCGTCATCATCACCATCGCCATCACTACCATCACCATCATCTTCATTATCCTCATTATGGTTCCTTTCACCATTCATCATTCTCCTGCCTCCTAGTCCTGCCTCCTCCCTTTATTCATCCTTCTCCTATTCATACCCTTTCTCGTCTTCCTCCCTCCCCTACCCATCTTCCTTCCGCCTCCTCCTCCTCCTCTTGCCTCCTCCTTCATGGTCTTGTTTGACGCGAGGCAAACTTCAAGAACTAAGCTTGTAGCGTTTGGCAGCGGCAAACAAATCAAGGTAAGCGGTCCGTTTTATTCCTTGCGGAAACAGGTTAAGGCGAGGCCAGCTTGGAATATTGACAGGACAATGCACGAGATATACGTGCAATACGTGAAAGTAGGCGCTGTCTTCGCCGAACTGATGGGAGTCAGGGGAACGAGCGAATCAGTACGAGAACCTAACTACGAGGAGGCACTGAACGGGAGAGGCGGAACTACGCGTGGAAGCAAGTATACTTTGTGAGGACTGTGAGCAAAGAGCAGAGCAGGCGACCCGCGTACGGACTAGTGGGCTAAACGTCGGTAGGCAACTTTGTGTGAATCAGCAGTACGATCCTCTCCCATGCTACCGACCAATCCTCCCCTACGGCCCTGCCGCATCCCCCCACAGTAGAGACGAGTTTAAATAAAAGGAATGGGCGACTGCTTGAAGATGGTTAGAGGTTGGTGGTCATTGTCTTCTCTTGTTGGGGCTGACGCAAGCGGTATTGGCTGGCCCTTCTGTGTAAGCTACTTGGCGCGACGCTGTAATGGTAATGGCTGCAGCTGCAACATGAGAGGTGTAGGGCAAGGAGGCTGTAAGGGGTGGTGGTAAATTGCGCAAAGTAGCGGGCGAAACACCCTGTCCTATTTGCTCTAGATCCGCTTCGCGGCGGTGGTACAGCGGGCGATGCGCCTTGGACTGCACCTGTCGCCAACGCCATGTCTTCCTACCCCTTTCCAATCCTGCATCCTCGCGTAAACCACTCCAGTTAAGGCTTACCGGGTCAAAATGCCTGCCTGTGTAGGGGTCCATTTGATTTCGCTGGCGATGCAAAGTGGCTGGCTCAGGCGGTACTGGCTGGTCATGCTAAGGTTGCTGTACTGTAAAGCAGCTGAAAGTAGCAGCTGGCAGAGGTCACCGTGTACTTTGCCAGTCGGCGCAAAGCGTGGCAGAAGGATTAACGTGTTGGCACCTAGACGTTGAAGGGGCAGGCGAAAGACGATACACATTCGTGCGTGACATGTTGTCAATGTAATCGCCCCCCGACCTCACGTTACTCAATCCCCCAAGCTTAGGGCTTGCCAGGTCGTATTAGTTTTCCTGTGTGACAGAATCCGTATGTTATTCATGTAAGTGGTTGGCACAGATGGCACTGGCTGGCCAAGGTGCTTTATGTACCGTACCGCCTGTTGACCTGCTGAAACGGGCGTGCTGCACACTGGGGCTTAATGTGGTCGGTAGTCCACAGTCGGAGTGTCCTACCGAAGTGCCAAGCTGGCAGCTCACTGTACCCGATGCATGTGCAGCTGAGGGTAGAGGCTGGCAGAGGTCTCGTGTATTTGGCCAGTTGGCCAAGGCGTGGCAGCAGAGGGTTAAAGTGCCAGCAACTTGAAAGTAAGGGGCAGGCATGAGAGAAGGGAGTGCGTGCGTGGATAAGGAGCCTTAGATTCCACCCGCCCCGCCAAGAGCCAAAGTAACCCTCGGTGTGAAGAATGAGCCGAATAGGAGAAATGAGGCGGCATGGTCCAAGAGAAGGACATGGAACGTCCAATAGTGAACCTAAACAGTAGAGAGACCAGGGAGCGAAAGCCGAACCGCGGTGTGCAAACACTGTGAAGGAGCATGTTGGGGAGTGGACAGTCTTTCAGTCCTTGATGTTCTGGCGATCATCGTCGAACGAGAAGTGGCTGTCCTGGGAGGTGTGAGATCGGAGACCTGTGGAGCCTGCTTTCTATCCCCAGTATGGTTCCTGCCCCGGTAGGTATGTCGGACACTGTGATTTGGGTGTTGGTGATGTGTTGTGTTGTGCTGTGGTATCGCTCCGGTGGTGCGTCCATGGGAGCCGAGCGCTGCGTCTGCACACGTCTGCCATGTGTTCCCGGTGCTGCTGCTGGTGGTTGCGGAGTGCGGTCAGGTGGTGTTGCAATGGCAGGCCGTTTGTGTCGGTGACGCGAAGCGTGTTGTGGTGGTTGTCCTCAGCGGGCACTGGTG